TTTGCATGTAGCGACCCCAGTTTTCCCAGGCACATTTATTGAACACTTTCTTTGCTCCAATGCATAGTCTTTGCTCCTTTGTCAAAGATTAGTTGACCATAAATCTGTGGTTATTTCTGGATTTCTATTCGATTCCATTGGTCTGTATGTCTGTTCTTGTTCCAATACCATGCACGTTGATGATTATGGCTTGTAGTAGAGTTTGAAGTCTGGAGTGTAAATGCCTCCATTCCCTTCTTTTTTTTTCAGGAGAGCTTTTGGCTATTCGGGGTTTTTGTGATTCCATATGAATTTCATCAATAATTGTTCTATTTCTTTGAAGAATGAAATTTTGATTGGAATAGCATTGAATCGTATATTGCTTTTGGTAAGGATGGCCATTTAAATAATGTTTATTCTTCCAATCCATGAGCAGGGGATGTCTCCCATTTCTTGTGTTCTTCTTCTATTTCTTTTAACAGTGTTTTTATAGTTTTCTTTGTATAGGTCCTTTACTCTTTTGTTAGATTGATTCCAATATATTGATTTTTTTGTTTCAATAACAAAGGGATGGTTTTTTGATTTCTTCTTCTTCAGATTTATTGTTTGTGTATAGGAAGGCTACTGACTTTTGCGTGTTGATTTTGTATCCTGCCACTTTACTGAACTGATTGATGAGTTGAATTGCTTTTTCTGTGTAGTTTTTTGGGGTTCTCTATGTATAATATCATATCGTCTGCAAATAGTGATAGTTGACTTCTTCTTTTCCTATTTGGGATTCCTTGGATGTCTTTTCTCTTGTCTTATTGCCCTGGCTAGGACTTCCATTATTATATTGAAAAGCAGTGGTGAGAGTGGACATCCTTGTCTTGTTCCAGATCTTAATGGAATTGCTTTCAGCTTTTCACCATGAGAATGATACTGGCTGTTGGCTTGTCATAGATGGCCTTTATGATGTTGAGGTATGTTCCTGTATCCCAAGAATTTCAAGGGTTATCATGAATGGGTGTTGCACTTTGTCGAAAGCTTTCTCAGCATCTATTGATATTATCATATGGTTTTTTATATTTCTTTGTTGATGTGTTGGATAACGTTGATTGATTTTCGGATTTAAACCATCCTTGTGCCCCTGGAATGAATCCTACTTGGTCGTGGTGAATTATCTTATGGATACATTGTTGGATTCTGATGGCTAAAATTTTATTGAGGATTTTTGCATCAGTGTTCATTAGGGAGATTGGCCTGTAGTTTTCCTTTTTGTGTTGTCCTTGTTTGGTTTTGG